ACAGCCCAGTCCATACAGAAGAGTTATGTGGATCGGAAGGTTCGCGATGTTGCATTCATGGTTGGAGAGCGGGTCTTGCTCCGGGTTTCGTCTATGAAGGGCGTTATGAGGTTTGGAAAGAAGGGCAAGTTGAGCCTAAGGTTTATCAGCCCATTTGAGGTGTTGCGACGTGTTGGGGAGGTTGTTTATGAGCTTGCCTTGCCTCCCAGTCTTGCAGAGGTTCATCCGGTATTCCATGTTTCTATGCTCCGGAAGTATCACGGTGATCCGTCTCATGTGTTGAATTTCAGCTCAGTCCAGTTGGACAAGGATCTATTTTATGTTGAGGAGCCAGTGGCTATTTTGGACATGCAGGTTCGAAAGCTGAGGTCAAAGAACATTGCTTCCGTGAAGGTTCGGTGGAGGGGTCAATCGGTCGAGGAGGCGACTTGGGAGACCGAGTAGGATATGCGCAACCGTTATCCTCATCTTTTCACCACTTCAGGTATGTCTTTATGCTCGTTCGAAGACGAACGATTGTTTTAAGAGGGGGAGGATGTAACGACCCGGCCGGTCGTTTTGAGAGTAATAGCCCTGATCCCCTATTAACTGCTTTCCCCGTATCTTTTCTACTTATGTGACTTGCCCAAAGCTTGCGTATGCGGTCCCAGCCATTTACGTCATTTTCGCGCATGCGATGAATTTTCCACGGGTGCGGATGAAGGCTCGCAAAGGCGAGTTTGCTAGGCAGAAAATAGGATTTCGAGGGTCGATTTCCCATTTTGATTTTGGGACTTTTAGAGCTCGGATTGGGTGATTGTTTGAGGGATTTTCAGAGAAAACTTTGGGGTAACGATTCTTAACTCATTTATGGTTATATTCCACTAATCTATGGTTGATTTCATCATTTAATTTTGGATTTGGGTTGAAATTTTAGGGAATATGGGAAGAAGTTCTTCAACTAAGATTTTGGGTTTTGATTGAGATTTTGACATCGGATTTGGATAATTTTGGTACGAGTGAACTCATGGGTGAATGCGTGTTCATATTTTGTGATTTTTACCCGATTCCGAGACGTGAGCCCGGGGAGACGTTTTGGGTCGATTTTCTAATTTTCTACTTTAGCTTTGATTTCATTTAATTAGATTAATTTCTTATAGTTGTATTTATGGTAAGTAATTGATTTTGGCTAGATTTGGGCCATTCGGAGTCGGATATTCGTGAAAAAGGCATTGTTATCGATTGATTGTGCTTGGTTCGAGGTAAGTGGCTTGCCTAACCTTGTGTGGGGGAAATCCCCTTAGGATTTGGTACTGTTGTGATATATGAGTGTCGTGTACGTGAGGTGACGAGTACGTACACGGGCTATTTGTTGTAAAAACCCGATTTATTTTACTGAATAGTAATCTGTTTTTCTTTAATTTGAGTTATAGCGTTTAAATGATTATTAGTCTGTTTTTCCTTTGAACTATGTGAAGCATGCCTAGTTGATTTCCTGCTTTTCCTTGTTCTTTATCACTATAACTGTAGAAATCGTGTCGTTAACTGTTGTATTTATCGGTTTGAGCTTTGTGTTTACTTTTGAGACTACGAGGCGGTTCCTCAGGAGTTCCCCCTGCATATTTACTTTTGAGACTACGAGGAGGTACCTCGGGAGTTCTCCCTGCACATTTACTTTTGAGACTACGAGGCGGTACCTCGGGAGATCTTATTTACTTTTGGGACTACGAGACGGTATCTCGGGAGCGCCCCTTTTGTTATCACATTGTTTGTGTGTTGTTATTCCTCTATGAATTCTTTCTGTTAAATTTTCTATTTTACTTCATTTTATTATATCATCTGTCTTGTTATTATATCCCAGTAGGGCCCGGACCTGACCTCGTCACTACTCTACCGAGGTTAGGCTTGGCACTTACTGGGTACCGTTGTGGTGTACTCATGCTACTCTTCTGCACATATTTTGTGTGCAGATCCAGGTACTTCTTATCAGCCCCGCTACTAGCTGAGAGTGCTTGCTGCTGTACGGAGACTTCAAGGTACATCTGTCGCGTCCGCAGATATCGGAGTCCCCCTCTATTCTCTCCAATGTCATTTACCTTCCGTACTTCTTTTATTAGACTCTGGTGTATAGATATACTAGTTTTCCTTCTTTAGCTTGTGACTTACGATGTTCCGAGTTTTGGGGAGATTGTGTATTATAGAGTATTTGTTATTGTACATGTCGAACGGCATTGTTACTAGTTATCCAGTTATCCACTGTAGTTAGTTGCCAAGTTTTACTTTAGTATTGTTATTTCCGCAATTTGTTAGGCTTACCTAGTCGTAGAGACTAGGTGCCGTCACGATGTTATACGGAGAGAGTTTGGGTCGTGACAGTGTGTTTCCACCTTCTTGTCATTGGCCTAAATTCTCTTCTCACCTGATTCCACCCGCTTCATTAGTGCTTCTAGCATTTTCATTATCTCGGGATTGACCCCGGGATCGGCTTCTCCCGATCTCTTGGTGATTTGCTCGTTTCTTCAGGTGCTTTCCCGGGATTGTTCGGGCTTGACCCTGTTGGGGGCGTGGCTTTGATTCTGCAACTGCGCTATTGTTGCCTATTGAGCCTGCAATATTTTAAAGATTAGCCGTAGGCTTACCCCATCACCTTCGCCTTTGGACGCTTCATGAGCTACCGGTCGGTGTCCCCCCGCGAACACTATTTTTAGGATCGATTGGCAAATTGGCGTCGATGGCTATTTGTAAGTTAGCATTGACCGGATCGGCAACTGGGACACCGTTGGGATCAGCGGGAGGCATTTCGTTGCTAGGCACCAAATTATTATTCCCATCATGATGGCCAGACTCAGCGTCAATGTTCAAGTGAACAGAATGAGAGTTCGACATTTCTGAACTAACCTGAAATTAAAACTTTAAAAAACAAGCGTAAAATATGGTGTGTTATGGAGATTCGTATCAAATCACCACTATTATCCTTTCGCCAAATTGTTTACCCTAAAATAGGATAACAATTAAATTTATACGCGGTTTTAAGGATATGTGGATTGATTCAACACAAATAATCAGGAATACTAGAGAAACGAGTTAAGATAAAATGAATGATCAAACCAGTCGTAATGTCACAGCCCGGCCCGAGCCTACGTTGAACAATAGTTTTGCCCTCGATCGGACCCTAGGTGCGATCGCAATTGCGAATGAAGAGCAAACAGTTAAGTAAGAACTGTCTCAATAGCTAGAAAGTAGAAAATGAATTTGTATTGCCTTGATTTATGTGTTACAATGTGCCTGCAAAAAAAGAAAATCTCCTCTCTATGTAGTAGGAGAGTTTCATTCCTTGTACAAGTCTAAAAAGGGTAAAAATCTTCCTTGCTCGTTAATTACTGATTCGTAACCGACATCGAGCGAGATCCGCGCCGTGATATCCGATCAGTTACGAATATCACAGCCCCTTATCCATCGTGCATAACCGTTTACCGTGTTTTCCGAGGTTTTAGAACTTGTTTAGGGTCCGGGGAGTGTCGCTTTATCATGCCCAATGACGACACATCGTTCTTCTTTCAGGGGTCTCGGTACGAAGTGTTTCCGGACTCGATTTTAGTCTCATGTGTCCATGCCGTTCTTCCATTTTCTCTAGCGGAAAATCGGAGTATGCTCTATCCCTGATTTTACCCGTATACAACTTCCCTTATATTTTTTGTTTTGAATCCTTCAGAATGTTTGACAATAATACATTTTTGTACAACTTTTACAATAATAGAGAACCTAAATATATTAAACAATTCAAATTTTAAATAATAATTAGACATTTGTGGTGTTAACTAAGCTAACTTTTCAGCTGCATTATGGTGTTTCTGTACTTACTACCAATAAAATATAATAGAATAAAATTTAACATACTAAACTTCCATCAAATACGTTAATGTAAATGGATAGCGAGACACTAGTTTTGTTCTTTTTACGAGAAATATGCAAAGTACCAACCATGTGAACTCTTGTTGCTTCTATATTTGTCCTCTAGAAACCAAACTATGAAATTATAGAAAAGGAGAAATACACTGGGACTACACGATAATAATATACGCGAGATACTTCCCAATTCTCTGAACAAGAACAGAACCTCAGAAAATGTTATGTAGGTTCTAGCTGAAGTTCTGTGATGACAATTTTTTAGTGTTTCAGTAGTTCAGTTAAACCTTCTGTTCTTTCTCTACGCTGTATTTTTGAAAAAGTATCGAGAAACGGAGGACATTGTGGCGTGGACTGCTCCTCCTCCTTCTTCTTGTTTTTTTTTGTGGGTAGAAAAGATTATTTTGTTAATATACTATAGAAACTTAAGTACTACGTGGCTTGTTCCTTCTAGGATATACAATTCCAATAGAGTCACTTACAAAAGATACTGGTATATACGTAAGGTGGAGAATCAAAATACACTGTTAAGCTATCAAAGAAATTCAGTATTACTATGTTTCCATAATTTTTGCTCAATTTGCTTAGTAAAAAGTTCTGTGGTAGCCACTTTCGTATTCATTCAAATAACAAAATGGGAGGAAAAAGGTATAGTTCCGGGTAATTTGCCAATAGCGCAAGGGGTTAGTGACAATCATATCCCTCTAAATTCAATTTTATTGTTTTAATTTGATTGCCGAAAATATAAGGAGAAAAGCTTTGATACAAGTTGGAGAACATCTCCCTAACGGCCCAAACAGCAAAAACAAATTGACCATTGGAGACCAGTTGGAAATCCTCTATAAAGATAAAGATGGCAAGTGAAACGTAAAACGTGATCCAAACCTTTTCCCAGTTCCATTTATTGCTCGGCACTATATTCAGTTTCCTCGCCTTATGCACAGTAGCAGCGGAGGAAATAAATGGCGTGTTATATTTCAAATTAAACAGATACATTATATATTCAGTTTCAGATTTTAAACAGCCTCTTGGTAAGGAAAAGAACTGAGTAAGGACCCAATTCAATTTATTCGCCTCTAGGAAAAACTAGAAAACACAGTGGAACACAACACCAATAGGTACAGGAAACCACATGTCCATTTGCCCGCTTGTCCATGAGTTTCACAGTTCAGTGGATTACTTACAAAACAACAGAACCCCAAACTAGCTGGAGTGAAGCACAACAGATATACTACAACTAAATATGTGTGATTACAAAACACAGAATAGGCAAAATACAACTTTCCTAGAAATAAGCTTAGGTTTGAAGACACCACAACAAAAAGAAAATTAAGCGAAAATGCAAAGCAGAAGAAGTCAAGGAATCATGGTTGTACAACTTCAATTTTGCAAACATCCTGATCATGTACCCCTTCCAACTACAGCACCTCCATCCACAGCAGAATTTGTTCCTAAATCCCAAAATGAAAAATCAACTCAATAAGCACTAAATTAAATATTGTTAATAGATGTGGGAAAACTACAACAAACATCTGATACATTTTGCTTACCATTTGTGGACGTCTGTGTTTCACCACCTTTCCCAAGCCACGTAGTTACAACATCTTTAAGCCTATCCACTGCACCCTGTCCAAAGCCTTCGCCAACTTGTGTTTCTCCAGAAGCACCATCTTCTTCTTTCTTTGCGTCTTCAATAGGACCTAATCGCCTCTCCACTTCCTCCGATTCCGTTACCTTCCCAATTAGCTTTTCCTCCCCTGTTTCCTCTGTTTTCTCCTTCTGTCTTGAAAGTGAACCTGAAATCACCTCAGACAGCGCCTTGTCCTCCTCTCCAGGCTTAAATTTCTCGGCCAAATACTCCTTCATTGAAACTCCTTTATCGGTAGCTTTAGTCTTGTCTTCATGCTCTGCATCAACTCCTCCCCTGCTTTCATGTCCTGTTACTCCAGTTGCTGTGCCCTGAACTTTTGCCATGACTGTGGTGCCAGCACCCGCCACTTTTTCATAAACAGGAGCAAGTTTTTCTGCCACTGTGCTCACAGCTTTTTGTGCTAATTCAGCTGCTGAGTTTGTTTTTGCTTTATCTTCATCACTTCCGGTTGCATGTGACTTGCTAGATTCCTCCTCTGTGCCACCATAGCCAAGCTTGGAGGCAACAACATTCTTAGCTGCAACTGCCTTATCAGCAATTGCTGATGTGGCGGATGAAATTTTCTCTGTATAGCTACCTGGTTTTCCAGTTAGTGTGTCCTGAGGTGAATCTTCTGGCTTGCTAGGATTCATGCTTTTAGGAAGTGATTCAGTCTGTTTAGGAACTGAGAGAAAATCAGTAGGTGCTTCCTGTGGTGCAAATTGATCATGTGATCCTGTATATAGGCTGTGTTCTGTTCCTCGATCAAATTTCGTTTCCCCTGCTCCTAGCTCTGGCCTTATTTGTTCAGTCCGTTGGTTTAGTGTTGTTTCTGGAGCATCGTGCACACCCATGTTCTCGAATGATCGAACAAGTGGACTAACTCCTGCCTCCTCATTATCTGTTACAAATGCATCATATAACGTCTTTTCAATTTTCAATCAAAACATGTTCCATCTATTTTACTATAGCAATTTAAGAGACGTGACACTTACTGGCACCTGTTGGATCAGCGACTTTACTCTGATAGTTGGTTGGATTCGGGCTCAACTCGGGACGGCCTTTAGGGGCGTGAGGATCCTCCTCTATGCCTGTTGGTACTCCAATTTTGTGCCCCAGAAGTCCTTGATCTTCTAATTTCCCATGGGCAGTAACATAATCAATGTCCATAGTCGCATGTGTATCAGCAGCAGCATGTGGCCTATGCATAGGATTCTCTAGACCTGTTGGTGCTCCAACATTTTCATGCTTCTCACAAGTCTCAGAAAAAGGTGGTGTGTATCTCTCTTCTCGGAAGTGGGGGGTGTAACGATCTTCTAAGCCTGTTTGTGCTCCAATTTTATGCCCCTGCAGTCCTTGGTGTTCTTGTTTTCCATGGGCAGTAACATGATCAGTGCCCTTAGTCTGATAAGTCTCAGCAAAAGGTGGTCTATGCCTCTCTTCAGGGAAGTGAGCTTCCTCCATAGATGGTGGCCTTGCAAATTCGTCTTGCCTCTGCAAAACTGGCCTATGCACCTCTTCTTTTTTCATTGTCGCATCGTAACGATCCTCCTTTGGGCTAGTTGGATTCTCTAAATTGACCATTGGCCCAACATCCTCTTTTCGAATATCTTTACTCCTAATAGCGTCTGACCAATGAATTGCAAGAAACTCAGTGTCATTAAGTCAGGAAGCAAATAATTTTATGTGCTAAAAAATTTTTTTTTTTTTTGGGAGGGGGGTGAAACGTACAGGGTCCACCATGAACTTCTGCACCTTCCTCCATTTCTTCATCGTCAGTTCCATCTTCTTCTTCTTCCTCGTGTTCACCTTGCAGTGGATGATGCTCGTGCTCGTGCTCATGTTCGTGATCGTGTCCAAGACCATGCTTAAGAGTATCCTTGATCTTTTTTGCTTTTGCCTTAACCTTCTTAAGTACTGATTTCTTATGATGATGTTGTTCACCTTCATCATGAACTTGACCCTGGCCTTCCCCTTCAATCATAAAAACAATTTCAAGTCAGACAATCAAGAAACAGGGCATATAAACATACACTTCCTCTAATTTTTCGTTGAGAATTTCTCACCTAAGTGCAACCCGGTATCCTGGGGATGGTGCAGTTGCGCCTCCATAATCAAAGCTGAAAAAACAGTGAAGTTTGATCAGATAATTTACGATTTTCCCTTGTTCTTTTTTTTTTTTTTTTTTTTTTTTTTTTTTTGTTGGGGATTTCTGACACAAGTGCCGTACAAATAGTTTTAGTTTTAACAAAAGAAAGAAAGAAAGCAGATAGCTGTTTTGAGAGAAGACAAAAGACGAGAATGGTTTATAGAGGGAAAAATTGAACCAATTGGCCACCTTTGCATGGCAGTGGCGTTCTGTGAGAGACACACGTTGTTACTCGACGCAGCACGTCTCTGTTGTAGGACGCGTGGTACGGCCTTTATGGGAAACTACTGTGGACGTGGCCTTCTTAACTGACGTGATTGGCCCTCAGAATATAAACTGCAATATATGAATGTCGGCACTTCTTATCTTTCCAACATCTTTCTATTTCCTTATCTTTCAAGATCTTATGACCGTAAAATTGTCTAACTTGCTAAAACCGATCCATTACTCGTGTTAGAGCAATTTCAATCCTTAATAATTGAACTGCCTTAAAATAACTGGATTCTTTCCCAACTGATAGCGTAGTAGTAGTTTTTTTCTTCAAAGTTTTAGACGATTGTTCAATAATCAAACACTATTACAAATTCAAACAATAGTGTCGTCCAGGGGAGAAGAAAACAATACTGTCGCGATTTTTAAAAGTCTAATGATCTTATGTATGGTATTATAAGATGACAACTTATACTTCTAAACATCGAAGTAGTAATATGGTTGACATATGTAACACACGGTCTTATAAGGCTATATAATGTACTACTTGCTTGAAAAAAGAACGTCATTGATAGCCTGTTTGCTTTTCACCATGCCAAAAGTATTTATTTTTTAAAAAAAATATTTCTTTCCTCAATTTGAGGTATTTGGCCAAATTTTTTTTGAGGAAAAAAATACTTTTGGCTAGAAGCAGAAGCAGTTTTGAAAAAGTAGAAAAAGTAGCTTCTTTCCAGAATCACAAGGAGAAGCAGTTTTGACTTTTCTTCCTTCCAAAAATACCCTTTGCAAAATATTATATATACCAAAATAACCTTACTTAGTTTAAACTATTAAGTAGAGTTGTGCGTAATTTGATAAATATCGAATTACCGTACCGAAATTGAAAATTTTGGTATTCGGTACGGTATTTGGTTTAAGTTTTAAACAAAAATTAGTATTAGGTGTGGTATTTGATATTTTAAAATAAAATACCGAAATACCGATATCGTACCGAAATATATATTATATTGCACAATACACATTTTATTAATTATAACTTAAATATATGAAATTTAAAATTTTACTTTCCTTTATTCTCTAAGTTCGTCAATTAACTCTAAGCAAGTAAAAAGATATTTCTCTAAATTTTCTCTCTCTAGGTTGGTATTTGCTGGTTTTGGATAAAATTTTTGTCAACAGACGTTTTTAGTTTTGTACTTTTGAGTACTTTAATTAAGAATATTACCCTCTATGACTCTATTCACTAGTTAGTATTCAAACCGAATAAACCGAACCGAATAAACCGTAATCGAAGGGAGAAAAACCGAACTATACCGAATTTAATTAGGTACGGTATTGTTATAGCATTTTACGAAACTGAATACCGAAAATATCAAACCGAAATATCTAACTACCGTACCGACCGACGAACACCCCTACTATTAAGTAATATAAAATGACTTTTGGGATGAACTTTCATATTTATTGAATAATTTTTTGATATATTTAAATTATCTTGAAAGAATAAAGTACTTTTTAATTTTATTTTTATATTTTAAATAAAATAAAAAATTTAGTTATTAACTTTAATAATAAATATTTGTAATTATTTATCTACTTATATAATATTAACTATTAAGCAAATCTCTTCATGTCCTTATTTGTAATTTGACACTTAAAAGCACTTTTTGAAAAGCTTGGCCAAACACAAATTATTGTTCAAAAGTGTTTTTCAAATGGTGGATTAGCCAAACACAAACTGCTTTTCACCAAAAGTATTTTTTCGAAAAGTACTTTTGAAAAAAATAATTCTCAAAATAAGCTGATTTTTCGAGCTTGGCCAAAAGGTTATAAATTATAGTTTAAGAAGAAAACTTTTGAACAAATCAGCGCACTTAAATTTTTTGCATTGAACATTTATGCATGATGATGTAGAAAATATCTATAAAATTATTTGAAAATTAATTACATGTAAATATTCACACTAAATAATATAATAGATAATGTGTCACAGCCAGCTAAATTACATTAATTAATAATAGAATCCAAGTATGATAAAAAAATTCAAATTAAAAAATACAAAAATCAAAAATCAAAATCATTATGGGTGGGTCGTAAACCTTAATAGATACCACTGACTAGTATCTAATAAGTTTTACCTACTATTTTATATTGTCCATATCTATAAATCTATAAATTAAAATTCAAACTTAATGCTAGTCATCTTGCTTATTTTCCAACTCTCATAAGCTAGCTAGAGCATCGGCTCACCTATACCCTATAGGTCTTATAAATTCGATAGGAGCATGTAATGTCTAGTTGTTTACCTTTAAAACGGATAACAATTAAATTTGTACGCGATTTTAAGAATATTTGGATTGATTCAACACAAATAATCAAGAATATTACATAAACGAGTTATAGATAAAATGAATAATCAAACCAATTGTAATGTTACGGCCCAACTCGAACTTAGGTTGAACAATAGTTTTGCCCTTGATCGGATCCTCGGTTCAAAGCCAATTGTGAATGAAGAACAAACAGTAAAGTAAGAATATTGCAATAGCTAGAGAGTAGAAAAAATAAATTTGTATTACCTTGATTTTCGTGTTACAATGTGTGTTATCAAAGAAAAACTTTCCCTTTATATAATAGGAGAGTTTCATCCCTAGTACAAGTCTAAAAAGGTAAAAATCTTCCTTTCTCATTAATTACTGATCTGTAACTGTCATCGAGCAAGGTCCGCACCATGATATCTGGTTGGTTGCGAATATAACGGTCCTCTATCCATCCTGTATAACCGTTCATTGTGCTCTCCGAAGTCTTAGAACTCATCCCGAGTCCGGGGTGCGTCGTTTTATCAGGTCCGATGGCGAACACTTCATTCACTTTTCACGAGCCTCGATATAAAGAGTTCCCAGCTTCGATTTTCGATCTCGTATGTTCGTGACCTTACTTCGTTTTATTCACCGGGAAATTGGGGTGTGCGTTATCCCCGATTTTACCCGTATACAGATAGTTCCCTCGCTTTTCGGATAGTAGATTTGCCAAAATTATGGAAAACAATAGATGAACCCCGGTTCCTTCCTTCGAATGTTACAACCGAGGTGACAGATAAGCCAAAACGTCATGTCAGTCGCGTCGTTCTGACTTTGGACACGTGTCAGTCACCGGCTGGCTGCGTTGGAATGTGAAACGTAGCACATTGACTGTTTCCCCCTATAAAAGCTTCGACCTTTTGCATTTCTTTCACTTTCCGATCCTAGCTTTTTTCGAATTTTCTAATGGCTTTTAACTTTTTCAAATCTCCATATCCCGCTTCTTAAACCTTCATATCTTCATCTTTGACCTTCAAACCTTCATATTTTTTCTTGGATATCTTCATCTCTGACCTTCAAACCTTCATACTCTTTCTTCAAATCTTCATATTTTTTCCTCCGAATCTTTATATTCTCCTTCAAGTCTTAATATTTCCCTTCAAATCTTTATATTTTCCTAGATCACGATGGCTAAAACTTCCGAGTTTATAATGCAACAAGTAGCTCCCTTGTCTTCCCATCCGGCCACGGGCGTCGAGGTGGCTCAGGAGCCTCCTATGAAGAGCTTCATACCTGAAGGTTGCTCTATCGAGGATGCTTTCAAAGTCAAGAAGGCCTCTAGCTAACAAGATCGGGGCGAGGGAGCATGGAGATACATATGCTTTGTCAATGGATATACCTTTCCCATAGTCCGAGAAGACTGTAAATGGGAAGGTAAAGATGTGGTCGTCCCCGGGCCAAACGATGATATTACTACCCACGTGGAGGATTACTTAAGTGTCTATACTTACCCATTTATGCTGGGCTCAGTAGATCCCGTAATCCTGGCTTTTTGCAAGAGGTACGAAGTGTGCCTCGGGCAAATTCACCCATCGTTTTGGAGGATCGTGATCCTCCTACATCATTTTATGAACAATACTGACAACCCACGGTTCACCCTCGACCATCTACTTCGCCTATGTAACCCCCAAATTTTCCGAGGGGGGCTGATCAAGCTTGTCCGTCGAGTAAGTAAGGCCCCTTTCTTGAGCATTGACGGGGATAGAGACCGAGGCTGGCAGGGGAGATTTGTTCGGGTGAAACCCGGTTTCTGCCGTTCCCCGAGAGGTGGAAAGCATCTCGTAAGTGCCGTCTTCCTTAAGTATTAACTTCTTTTTATTCCTTCTCCCATTGCATATATTTGCGGCCATGCAGCTGTTGCCCAAGTTCCTAATGCAATCTCCCGGTTCAAGGAGTGGATCGAGGGGATCTGTAAGCAGATGTCATACTTTGAGCGCGCATGGCAAAAACTTTCGAAAGGCAAATGGGAGGCCCGTTCTCACGGTGAGGTTCTTCCCTGAATAGTTACCACTATGTCCCAACTTACACAATGCTAACCTTTTCTCTTCTCTTATAGGTCTGCCTAAGACCACCGAACTTAGGCCGCTGGATGAGGATGAGGATACGTCATTACCCGTCGAGCCCTCCATTTCGGGACAGCTCTGGCTACTGCATAGGAGGAAAAGAAAGTCCTCGGTTTCCTGGATCCCGAGGCGAAGAGGAAGAAGAGAGCAGCCACCCGAGTTCGGAAGCCCAAGAAGAATACCAAGTCCAGGGTACCGGACCCTGACTTTTTATACCGGCTCAGGGGCGATCCCGAAGAAGATGACATTTTCGTCGCTCATAGGTCGACCCCTACTAGGGAGCAGGTGACGACCGAGAAAGAGGACCTCGAGTTCAATCCCCTTCTAACTCGAGAACCTGAAGGGAAGATGGAGGCTGCAGCCTCCCAAGAAGCTGCTCTTGTCCCGAAGGAGATGACCGGTGTTATTGACATCGTGGAGACGCCCTCCTACACTGAGTCTATGTTCGAAGAGGCCCAAGCGGGCAAAGAAAAGTCAGGTGAGG